ATGCGTTTTGTGCTGTGTAACAGCGTTACAAAACGCATATTGTCATGGGGTTGCCTGTGTGTGTGTCCCACATTTTGTCCCGCACTTTCAACTTCGGAACCACAAAAGCTAGGCGGCTAAAATTTTGGTATAGTGTTCCTCGCCAACGGGTGACGCGGCAAATTTAAATTCAGCCTTCCCGTACCCGCGGGTAACACGTACGGCCACGCGAAAGTTTTTTACGGATAAATTAATATCACAGGAATCACGAAGTCTAAGAGGCTGAAATTTTAGGATAATGACCCAGTGCCCACGCTCAACCTTGTCCATTCAAATTCAGCCTTCCCGTATCCACGGATAATCCGTACGGCCCCGTGAAATTTTTTTACGGGCAAATTATTATCTCAGGAACCACGGAGTCTAGGAGGCTGAAATTTTAGCGTAATAACCCCCTGTCCACGCTCAACCTTGCCTATTTAGATTCAGCGTTCCCTTGCTGTTGAGTATCACTTACGGCCTCGTGAGAATTTTGGCGGTTACTATTAACTCGGGAATCACGGAAAGATATTCATCCTTCAAGGTTTCGAATTCAGCTTTCATGCGCCAAACTATTAACTTGGGAATCACGGAAAGATATTCACCCTTCAAGGTTTCGAATTCAGCTTTCATGCGATTGTGCGTGAAATTTTTGACTATTTTCCAATTGTTGAACTATTTTTGCATAAACAAAAGTACAAAGCAGTGAAAATCATTAATAGGCAGTCGCTCGATGGGCTGAATTGCACAAAACGCATGATCGCACCGGCTAGTTTGGTGCGCGTTGCTATTTATTTTTTTTTTAAGTGAATTGAAACATTCTGGCCATTGTGAAGACTAATTTACTGAAGTTGGATAGCCTATGTTACTATTTTGAAAAAAATTTTTTACATGATTTGAATGAATCTGACTTTTGTAAAGATACCCCTTTTTCCTGAGTTTTGCGTTACCATGAAAAAAGTTTTTTGCTTAATCCGAATCACCTTGTTTTTTATGTGGGTCATTTTACTAGAGCTGTCCAGTACCACGCTATTTTTGCGAAATATGTCATATTTCGCGCATCTTGCTGACCTTCTGTTTTTTTCCAATTAATTCATCCGCTACTCATTTGTAAAATTGTCCATGTCAGGATTTGGAACTTCCCTTCGCCCATCGCCCCACTCCGCTCGTTTCACTCATTTTCATTAAACCTTCCTTCCACCCCCACCCCCTCTCCCCTTTCGCTAGGTCCCATTGGCGAGGCCGACAGTACGGCTTATTGAGCATTATTAAAATTTAGCGAGTTAAGAACCGTGAACGAAACGA